GGACAAACTGATTATTTGTGGCACCTGCATTGACTGGGGTGAAGATGTGCTTAAGTCGAGCGATACTCTTTGCAGTGAAATATGCCCAATTACTGTTTCGAGAGAGTAAAAACTCTCTAGGAATAAACAAGTTGAAGGAATTGGTGATTCTTGAACTACTTCGATGTTACTGACTGATAAACGTGAATCTTCATAATATATTCAACAAAAAGTTTTAAAAAATGTTTAAAAGAAAAAAAAAACAAAAGATAAGAAGAAGCGTTGAAAGAAGACTGGAGAAGATAATTAAAGTAATTTAACTCACTTTCAAATACCAAATTCGTTAAATTGCCAATGTTAGTTGTGGTTTCTGCTGGATGCAAAACAACCAACAGATAATCAAAAGCTGCTGTCTCCGTAACGCGTTCTGCTCGAAGAGCGTCAAAACTCTCCATGTTTAGAGAGAACGGTGATCTTCGAACTTCGATGAATTTTAATAATACGAATTATAATACTGATGGAAATAAATGAATTGAAATTAAAAGCGTTGAAAGGAAAAAAAAAAAAAAAAACAACTTACCGATAACTGCTAAGTTTTCATCATAAGCTGATAAAAGTATCGAATAATTTTTAAAAAATCGTTGCCTTTCAGTTGCCCCAGAAAGATTTCATGTCAAATATTAGCACTAGGTGGCATTTTGATAAAAAAATTTCAGAACTCTCAACTCTTTCGCAAACGAAAGAAAGAACGTGCAAAAATTTTAAAACAGTAAGTCCAGCTTAAAAAGAGAATTGAAAAGGCTTAAGAAAAAAAAAGAAAAGCTACGGAAAAGCTTCATTAATGGAGTTTAGTTTTAACTGCAAAAAAAAGAGCAAGCCGAAAGCACCCGATTAGAGAAAACTGCTTAAATGATTTTTGTAAGAAAAAACAACAAAGAAAAAGTAGTAGTAGTAGCAGCAGCAGCAGCAGCACTGGCAGTAGTAGTAGTAGCAGTAGTTGTAGTAGTTGTAGTAGTGATAGTAGTGATAGTATGAATCCTTAAAATTAAATGAAAGTAAATATAAATTTTCTAAATAGTAAAGAAAATTGAAAAAAAACAAACAAATTTTGACTCTTTAATTTTGTGATGTGTCTTATACAAACAACCGTGAGTTTTCTCCTCCCCCTTATCCCTACTATTTTTTGAAGTTTGTGTTATAAAATTAATTTGGAGCTGTTTAAACAGCTCATTTTCATGTAATCTGTAAGCAAATAAACTTGCAGTTTCGAGTTAGCTATGGCTACCACACAACATTTTAAGTATGTGGCCCACCACCTGTGGCAAACTATCAACAAACTACTAATAGATATGATGTTTCTCATATTCAAATTCAATTAGATCCAATCTTACGGTTCTTAAGGATAGTGATTTTTTTTTTTTTTTAATAAAAAATTAGGAATTTTTACGTAGGAATCGCAGAAGCAGCAAGAAGATTAACTAATAAGTTTGAAGTTTTTGTATCAGACAGTGATTGTGAAGTTGAAGCAGCCGTTACAGCATTCCAAAATAAACCCAACGTGTTTGTACCAGAAAATAATATCGAAAACGAGTCAACTGGAAAATTTGAAAATAACTTCGGGAAATACGTTGAAGCTGAAGGTATAGCTACAGTAATTGGGTCAACAACACTTGTAGTAGCTGAGAGCAACAAAACAGTAAGTTCCAAAGATGTTAATAGTGCTTTCGAAAGACGAATCATGACAGCATCTGTTGTTAACTTAAGACATTAAGATTTGAGAAATTTTTTTAAAGACGCAAAAAAGTAGCTTTTAACCGAATACAATAGCCTCTTAACAAACATGAACCACTATAAGTTAACACAGTATTGTTATTTAAATATGTTACAGTCAAAGATAACATTAAAAATATGGATATAAAAGTTTTCAATACTAAGTCACAATCCATTTATCAAACAACTTATTTACTCGACTGGTTTGATAAAAATGTGCAACAACCATCTGAGAAAAGTATGGATGACTTTGAAAATGCCGGTTCTGGCTGGTTTTTACGTTCAATATTTAATTTAGTCATCAACATTGAAAAATTAAATCCTATGCAAGGTAGCACGTTTACAGAACTTACCAGACTACATTAAAAAAAAAATTGCTTGTGTAAATATTGTTAACACTGACAATCAATGCTTTAAATAGGTTATTTTATCAGCAATGCATCTGGTAAATAAAAATGCAAATCATGTCTTAAATTATACAAGATACGAAAACGAGTTGAATTTTAGTGATATTGAGTTCCCTGTTGCCCCTAAAAAAATTTCCAAATTTGAAAAACAAAATAATATTTTAGTTGAATTATGTTTAAAAAAAAAAAAGTTAATACTTATTATGTCTGCCTAAGTCATTTATTAGGTAACAAAAAAGAAGATCGTGTTAAACTTTAAGTTGTGAAAAGTTTTTATATTGATGATGATGAGAAAGACGATGATAAAATCAATATGGAAGACGATTCAAATACCGAGTATTAATATCATTATGTTTGGATTAAAAATTTATCACGTTTAATACGCAAGCAGTTGTCTGAAGATTAGCATACCACCAACATATGTGACCGATGCCTTCACTACTTTTAGTCGAAAGATAAATTGAAAGCATGTGAAAGAGATTGCAAAAATATGAATAGTTGCAAAATTATTCTACCTAAAAAAAATAAAGAGTACACACTTGAACTTAAAAATGTTTAGTACAAGAACCAAGTACCTCTTGTTATCCATGCAGACTTTTAATGTTTATTAGAACCAGTAGAAAATAAACGTGCGTAACAACATAATGTAGCGCATAGTATTGGATGTTTTATAAAATGCAGTTATGATGATAGGAAATCCAAGTATAAAAGTTGTAGGCAAAATGATTAAAATAATGAAGATACCTGCTAAATGGTTTTTCTACATTCTCCACCTTCTTGCTTTAAAACTAGAAGAATTGCATAAAAATCCTACCAAGAAGATTGGTTTGACAACAGCAAAGGTCATGTATGATCAACCTTCTTTATGTCATACATGTAACCATATCTTCAGTTTAGTTGATAAAAAAGTAAGAGGTCACGACAATGAGAATGTGACAATCTGACTGAAAAGTGCGCATATTTTTTTTACTGTAATAATAATTATTACTTTCTAAACCAAACAAAAAATATTTTCCTATTGTAGGTCCCACGCATAGCAAGTGTAACATCAATCATCATGATTCACAAATAATACCTATGATGTTTTGTAACATAAACGGTTATGATTCTTATTTGTTGATAAAGAAACTTGCTATTAAAAGTTTTATCGTCTAAAAAAAAATTTTTACACCCTCATAAATTAAACAATTAAGTCAAATAAAAAGCCAAGTACGTTTAATCTGTTAAATTTAAGTTTAATTAAGGCTTTGGGGGCCACTTAGCGGTGACAGCCAATTTTAATTTTTGTTAATGTCAGTCTTACAAAGTTGTGGAATCAAGATCTAAACACGATCAAATTCTTTTTGCATAACATACTTTTAATGTAACACTTGTTTAACTATTCTTACTGTCTCATAACTTTTTACCAACTGAATCAAACGTAGTAATTTGTATTTTGGACTGGTGCATAGTGCAAACTGTACATCTAATACATAAATGTGATGTTTTGTAATAAGTTTAAGAAAATAGCAGTACTTTCTATGGATGTACTTTATGTGAGATTTACAAATAGTATCAATAGAAAGTAACAATTACTCAGTTTTATTATGTTAACGTACAATTACTGGATTTAGTTGTATTAATATTACAATCATAGTATGATACTACGCCAAAAAACTACTTGTCTCTTGACTTGAGTTTCACAACTCTGCAAATGTCATAAGGCTATTTATGAGAGTAAATATGATTTGTTCCCACTTTAGAATGGATTTCAAGTTTTAGAAGAATTTTAATTCAACACGTAAAACATGACTTATCTTTTAATTTAAAAAAAACATACTTTTTATTTAGTATACTTTACAAGTCATGTAAAATTGTAATAATTATTACTAAAAACTAATATTGTATTTTACTTAATATGCATAATTTGATAGAGTATTAACCGTATGATTACAGTCACTTTGACGTTCAATTTCTTTGTAGTTCTCATCTGTGTGTCATTTTATTAATCTTCATTTATCTTGTGCTAGTGTATTTTTTTAGACTTGTGTATTTTTACAATTGGATTTTTTTTTCTCAATTAAAGAAGAAAAATGTAAAAAAAATAATTAAAAGCACTTTAAAAATGTATTCGAACGTATACTGTTAGATAATATTGGAGTAAAAAATTAATAAATGACAAAAAAGATGCATAAGAATTCGTGCTGGAAAAACTTTTATAAAAAATTGTTAGCCATGAAAAAAAATACCTGCAGCCTAGAGCGAATACTTAGTGGATCATTTTCTATGCGAACTCCTATTGGATGAAAATCATCATAACTGGGTGGATACTATTCAGGGCAAGCCCTGTTTTTCTATTGGCTACAGCTCGATAGTTGTCATGGTGACACTTAGTCTTGTCAACCAACGAGCTTCAATCATAAATATCCTGAACCTACTCAGTACATACTCCAAGGTTGTTTTGAAGTCACTGAGATAACTACATTTTAGATACAGAATCCCACAAGATCTCACAGTGTACAGTACATAGTTTAACGTTAAAAAGCATACACTGCCTATCCTTCTTTTATTCCTTCACATCTTTATATTTTTTTTTTCTTTTGGTGATTTCTTTAAGCTGTATTAACGTCTTTTTAGGACACTTTTCCCTAATATTCAAAATAAAAAAGTCTATTTTTCTGATGATATTTTACTAAGTTCTAAATATGTGTGTAGTAAAAGGCTACAAAAAGATAGTAAGCGGACAATTTTTAATTTTAAAATATTAAGTTGGATAAAACGCTTACTTAAATTATTTGCACGTTGATAGTATACACATTTATAGCATTTAGTTCAGACTTTCTGTATGAGCAGCTGATAAAAAACATTTAAACTATGGATGGCATTTCATAAATATCATACGTTACAATTTTTTTAACGGCATCAACCTGGCTAACGACCTTCCCAATGGTGCTGGCCCAGTCGGCGGTGTTAGTAACTCCGTCGGCGGGGGCGCCGGATCAGACGAAAGTGGGACTGGTGGATCTGTTAGTGCAGGAGTAACATTATCTTCTCCACTCTCATCTGCTACCCTTAGTTTAGAACATCAACAGTTCAATATTTTTCCAGCTATTTTCAGCAGACAGCTAAATTTTTCAGCTGCAAATTGTAACCAAAATAAACTGATGGATGAGCTTCGACCCAATCTTGGACTGTTAGGTGTTAATTTAATGGAAAACGATGTTTTTCATCTAAATCACAGTCAAGACAAGCGAAAGTGCAATAGTAATAGCTCAAATGAGCAGGATTTTGGTATTTATGGTGTGCATCAAAACATGGACACTAGCTCACCATCACCTACAATAAATTCAAGTAGAAATAGTGTCAATACAGCACCTACAGTAAGTAAGTATCTTTTATGTTATCGTCTGTATTCTGTTTTTCAATTGCACGTTACTTTTCTAGTTTCATATTCTTATGAATCAACCAACCACACATTGGCCTCAAATAGCAGCTGTTAAACTAGTACCATAAACACAAAATACTAAACATTTTCTTACGGTTTCATGGAAATTTAAGGCATAAAGGTGATTTTAAAAAAGTAAGTGAAAGTAATCCATGAATTTTACTTTGAAGAACTGCAAGCTTTTTTGCTAGGCTTAACATGTCAAACCCTTTAACTTTTGAAGTGATAATTTTGTTAAATCAATCTGAAGATTTTCAAAAAGCATTTAATTGACTACTATGGCGGAAATATCATTTTTAGTTGTTCATAACGTACAAAAAAGCTGTAGTATGTACACGTATATTATTTTTCTTCATTTAACATCAAACTACTAAGTTATTCTGAAATTTTGTATAAATAGCTGATATTTTTCTAAGTTCTGCAGCCCTGAATTTCATCAAAAATTTTTTTTGCCGCATTTTCCTGATCAAAAATAATTATTAGAGTATTTAAGTAAAAGTCACTTCTGAATTGAAGCTCAATTTAATATTAACGTCTTTATTTAATGAGGACACATACTCACACGTACTCATACAAATAAACAATTGTACTTCACAGAAACTTATCACAAAGACTTATTAGCAATGCAAAATTATTTTTGTGCCAAAAATTACTAATATATAAAGAAGCCGTTTAGCATGGAAGGAACATTGGTGGGCCAGTAGCTACAAATAAAAAGTATGGTATTTATGATGCTCACTTCAAAAATATGCTGATAAAAAATTTTGTTTTCTTGTTGTATTAACACTGTTAGAATTTCTTCGTTCTACAGTGATCCAATGAGTCATTTTTTATTACGTCATTACTGAGACTTGTATTTTTAAAGTCATAAGACTTCTACATTAGAATATAAGACGACTCTGTATGAAATAAACAAAAGTTAAGATACAACGAAAAAGAAGATGAGCAAATCATCATTTGATAAGCTACTTAATTTCTTTTAATAAGTTCTTTACCTTATTACAATAAACAAGATACTTATAAGTAATAGGACACAATAGGATATTAATCAATCATTTTTTAAACACGAACATTCTCTAAGATACAGCTCTTGTAAGAAGTAAACATCTCTTACATTAATTTGCTGTGAATAACTTACGCCAATGGATTCTTAAAACATGCACTATCACATTAAGGAGGTTCAATCCCTCGCTATAGTCCATGCAACGCTCTTTATAGTTCTGTATGTTATTTGTCTTTCTCGCTTTCCTGTGACAACATAGCCTTTTGTAGTTTCTACCTCAGTTATTTATTATTTTTTCCCTCACTAGTATCCTCAAGATGTTCCATAAAATCAAATACGATCATTAGATATATTTTTATAATTGATCAAATTTTCGTCTTATGTTCATTGTTAATAAACGAGGTAAATGCAGTAGAAGTGCTTTAAAAGACGACAACCCGTAAACCTACATGTAAAAATGAGCTAGGAATAAATAATAATTATTCGGCTCCTAGAAACCCTCATACCTTTAAATTTTGACATTGTCATTGTTATGATTTTATTCATGAGTACAACAATTTTTACCCAATTTTCATTATTAACTCGTTTACCGATAAAATTACCTTGAGTAGTTATTTTGTTCATTGTGTTACCTATATAATTAAGATACATTTAAGATAACATTATGCATTTAAGATAACTGTGTGCATTAATATACAGCGATCCTATTCAAACTTAAAAAGGTTTTAAATAATTCAAAAGTGATTAAATAGCTGCAAGTGGTACGAAGTTAAAAGCATTAGGTTTTGCCAATGTTTAAGCTACTGTTACTTTCAAATAAATCCACGAGCTGGTGCAAATCCAAATATTGCTGGTCAATTATTTAATTCAAGCTCATTAGTCCATGGCCCAAGGGCTTTTTCAATCTTACGTTTTCTAGTAGAGAAAAAATTGGTTATTCCCCTACAGAATTTCTCCACAAATACAGGAAAAAAGATTTTGTCCACTTTAAGATTCGGCTTCATTCATTCAAATAACTATTTATAAAAAAATCTCAATATTTAATTAAGTTTTTTGGTTGTGTATCCGCTTCTATTGCTCTGAAGGAAACTTTTCGACTCTAAATCTTTTCGTTGTTAAGCTTTATATAATAAACGCATTTTTGCAAATCTGTTATTTACTTTTAATAACACGTGAATGGCAAAAAAGTTCGGAAAAAATTTTTTTTCACCAAAAAGTTTTTGATTAATCCATCATATTAATTTTGACATAACGGTGAAGAAATAGAGATGTTAAATCATACAGACTATAGCTGTTTGTAAAACTGCAAAAGAGTTAATAGTTTTTTGTTCATTAATTTTCTTAAGGGAAATTTCGGCGTGTTATTACAAACTTTACCTTAGGTTTATCTACATTTTGCTTCCGTAAAGACATTGTATTTAATACTAGTAATAATAGCCCACAACAAAAAAATTTGATTTTTGTGAATTTCAACGTTTTGCCCCAAAAAATTTTATTTTTTAAATATTTGAAGCAATTGAAAATGTCTCAGTCGTTATTAAGACTTTTTGTTTTAGATTTGAGTAAATTTTGTAAATTAGGCATGTTCAATACTATGTTTGTAACTTTATAATAATGTAGAACTAATCGAAGATAAACGCTAGCCGTAGTCCAAATTTATACAAAACTTTGACAGTGTGATGCAGAAATACATGAAGATAATACACAAATTTTTTCGCCATAAAAAATTCAATTATCCGTACGTTATTGCGAAAAACGCCAATTTCTTGTATCTCGACTTCAGAGTAAGCTGAAGCACTCCCTTTTCTTTTCTAAATTTCTTTTTTCATATGACAAATGCAAAAGCGTATGTTTGAAAAAAAAAATTCGCTAAACGGACTAAGTTATTTGAAATTTTTGGGATTGCAAAATATAATTTTTGGTGAAAAAACTTCCCAATTCACAAAAAATCAATTTGTTCTGTGTGTTATCATTACTTACCATAAATACAATGTTTTTACCGAAGCGAAATGTCAATAAACCATGAAGTTTGTCATAACACTTCAAAGTCTTGCTTTGAAAAATTAATTAGTTAAAACTAACAATTCTCATGCAATTTTATAAGTAGCTATGGGTTGTGCAACTGCACATCAATATTTTTTCAAGGTTGTGTTTTAAGTAACATGATTTTTTTTTTACATCGACTGAAGTTTTTTCAGAAAAAAAGTTTTTTTCCACTTTCTTGCCATTTACTTGTTATTAACAGTTAATAACGGATTGGAAAAAAACCCGTTTTATAGGAAATTTGATGACAAAGAGTTTTGCCGTCGAACAGTTTTTCTAGGGGCAATAAAAGCGGAAGTAGAAGCAGAAAATCAAATACAAAATTAGCGTTTGTTAATACATTGTTGAATAAATAAATAAAGCCGATTTTTTATTTAAACAAAAAAATTTTTTTTCATATTCCTTGAAAAATTCTGTAGGGAAATTACCAATTCTTTTTAACTGTGAAGAGTGATAAAGGTCCTGATTGGATCAAAAAGCTGAAGTTAAAGTTCTTGTATAGCTTGTTTTTCGTAAGCTTCCTATATTTTGAATGTTAAAAATCCTTTTAGTATATTGTTCTCAGTATGTGGGTAAATTATACTTTTTGATAACCACAATATATGGCTACATCCTTGTGAAGTTATTGACCTACAGTTTTATTGTATTCAATCTTCACTAGAACAACTTCAAAAAATCTTTAAGGAAGAATTCTAATTTTCTGTAAATTTTGTCTAATTTCTATGATGGTTTGTTATACTTGTAACTAAAATAAATGTTAGCCACAAATGAATTAAAAACAAATTTATTTCCATTGACATAAAAGTCTCAAAAGCGTACCATGATACCCAGAGTTAAAAGATACACTCCACTGAATCACGGTAAGATCTGCTAATTGACAAAATTAAAAGGTAAACATGTTTTATGAGGTAAATTGTTATTTCATTATAAAATTTTTGAAGCCTGTAAATATAAGATATGTATTATTTTACATTAATTATAAGCTGTGCAAAGTTGTAATTTTTGTTTGTTTTTATTTTGAAAAAGCAAAATATTTTTTGAATAATTGTAGTTTTGTATGATTGAGTACTCGGATCTGACTTTTTTCTTATTAAAGTTCTATTTTGCATCACTTAAAACAACTTGACACTGTCTTAATTTTAACGTATTTTATTTTAATTTTCATAAAATATCAATCAAACTCAATAAAATAGTGTTACCAATACAAAAAATGATAAAAACTTTTTTTGTTAATGTGGACATTTCATGGGCATTGTGGCATCCATCACTAAAATTATGGCTGACTTGCGTCTAAAATAATACTTTAAACCATGTCTTCTTCTTTTTTTCTTGAACCTTACACAAAAACTGTCATTGCTTTTTCATGAAACTCAGGAAGGATTTAGTAACGATAAGTGATATTTTTAAATATGAATAGTCATTGCAGAGCCAATTTTTAAGTTTCCCATGAAGCATGTGTAAACAAAATTTAACTTAAAATCTTAGTGAATAGTTTTCAATAGCCCCAAAACTTGAATGATCATCGTCTACCAATGTATAATTACAGTTTTTAAGTGTGTTTTCAACACAATGCTTGTGTTTATCGTAAATTATTTATTAATGGAACTAATACATAGATAATTTTTTTTTCGCTTGATTTCGACTTTATCAACTTATTTTTTTCTGATATGATTAATTACGACACTGGTTCATACTTCTACACTATCAGATATGCTAGAAGCAAGTCCTAGCTGCTTATCTTCAGACAAACAAAAACTTACTACAAGAAGAGTTGAAATATTTTACACTCGATATCATATTTGGAAAAGTAATATTTGCTCATAATTTATAGGTAACTGTTGGAAAAATATATTATAAACAGAGAATAATTGTTGTCAAACAAAAATAGACTTT